GGCCGAGCCCCAGGCGCCCACGGGGCCCGGGGCAGCCCCGCGCGGGAGCAGCCCCCACGACGTCCTGGGTGAAGAGCTGCCCCCAGGGCCCCCAGCAACATGAGTGAGGCCCACGCTCCTCCGCAGAGCCCACCAGCCCGCGGGCAGCGCACGGGAGAGCAGCACAGCCGCTGCGGGAGCAGGGCTCCCTCTGCCCTCAAGGCCGTGGTGTTTCACCCAGGGGCAGCCGCAGCTCCTCCAGCTGCCCGGGGAGGCGGGTTCTTCTGAGCCTGCTCCTCCTGCACCACCGTCCCCATCTGTCCCAGACACACAAGGGAGCCAGACCGGCCCTAGTGCCGTCCTCGAAGCCGAAGTGCTTCAGGGATCCTGGTGCTGACTCCGAGGCATCCCCCAAACTTTGAGGAGGACAGTGGGTTCTGAACACATACTGGAAATTGAACACGCTCCCATCCTATTCCACTGTTCCATGTACACATAAGCAGGCACACACACACATGTACATCACACCATCTTGCAGGCCATACTCTTCTCCAACAACGTGGTTTGTCCACCCAAGTGCTGCCTGGGGCCGAGATCGGCTTTGTGTAACCGCAGAGCCCGCGGCACCCTGTCAAACCCACCTCGTCCACCTTCTTCCCAGGCGAGTAACCGCGAGGCCCCTCACTTGGGAACGGAGCCTGCGAGTGGCTGACGCCCCCGGGCACGCGTCGCCCCCCGCCCCGTCCCCGGCGCGCTGTGGAGGGCACGAGTCCCGCGCGCTCCCAGCCCTCGGCATTGCCGCGCTCCTCGGTGCAGCCCGGAGGAGCTGCACACGCTTGTGCTGCTGCCTTCGCGCCAAAGCCGGCAGGAAACACGATGGGACGAACCCCCAGCCCCAGGTACTGTGCAGCGAGCAAGCCCAGTGCCAAAAACCATCAAGTGCTTGCAAAAAGAGGCGAAGAAGAGAGCCCGTGTCCGTTGTTACTTCTCCAGTGCAAGGGTTGCCATAAACATTTACAAAACTACAGCAGCCTGGCAGGATTACTTTTTAAAATGCATTCAAATTATGTAGGGTTTTGTTATCATATTTTTAACAACAACAAAGTCCACGAGCTGATCCAAAGGTCTGGCATTCCAAAGTTGTCGTCCATTTTGTTCACAAACTGCATTTATAACATTCAACTGCAGCAGTCCCGTATTTGCCTCTCCCTTTCCCTCTCTGGGCGAGACAAAGCCAGGCTGAGCATGGGACGTCCCAGTTCTTCATAGGCGTTTGTTAGTGTAAAGCCTGAGTTCATCATGTTTGCACACTCCCCATACCTTATTTTCAGAAACGGAGCCTGAGTTTGAAATATCCAGGCTAAGACTAACGTGTCCCGGGAAGCATAACATTCCCTGGAGTTTTTATGTTGAGGAATAAACTCTCTTAGTATTAAGAATTGAAGATTGTCCAAAAGAAATTCCCTAACAACCACAGCAGTGTTTAAGAAGATGAAATAGAGAAAAAAATACCTGTGTATGAAGCAAGAATTAAATTAATGGTTTCATTTTCCATAAAGATATTGATAATGATCATATCAAGATAATATGATATCAGGAATCAAGATCAGGATAAATAAAAGGCTACACTAACTGAGGTGGAAAGAAAATCCTCACAGAACTGATATTAATTGAGAGTGTGCTCACTCCTGACCCAAGACTGTGCGGAGCAAGCACAGAAATGGAGCTCCAACAACGAGCACTTTCTCCAAGTTCATGAAGTCTGTACCATGTAGGTGGAGGACAGCAAGGCAGTGCTTATATGTAATACAGAAATGAAATGTACAGGCCTACTGGTTTGTACAGCATCATTGGCATCCTGGGGATTAAAAGGAAACACTTCAGAAAAAATAGTAAGGGAAAAGTCACTGACGAAAGCTTTTGGTCTAGATTTTTGATAATGAAGCACGTAGGAAATTGCCTGAGGGGATAACGGGATTATCACAACCGCCCCCCCATGTGGCGCCCAAGGGGCCGCAGTGAGAGGCTGTCTTGGAAAAGGAGGATTTAGGACAGAAGGACATGACTAGTGCCATTTCCTGGCATCTGCTGGTGAAGATGCAACTCACTACTACTTTGTTGACCACAGCACAAAAGAACAGGGATAGGCCATAAAAGTTGTCAATGACAAATTTGAGATGCCTCACCAAGAAAGAGTAGGGTGGTTTATTGAACAGCAAGGAATGGAGGACATGAGGAACTGGAGAAACAGCAGTGGGCTGTAATTTGCTACCACAGTTTCTGAGGAAGGGCTCCCATATGCCTAACACAGAACTTGTGCTAAGGTCCTACATGACAGCAAGGGGTGGAGAGGACCCTTTCCCTTCCCTTGCTTTTCTTCAAGCAGCCTCCCACAGCCAAATCCTCTGGGAAGGGGGCCAGCACCTCGCACGTGCTTGGGGGTCAGCAAACAGCCCTTCACGCAGAGAGTCTGCAGAAGAAAAAAATGGACTGAGGGCCAGAAAGGCAGAAGAGCTTTAAGTTCCAGTGCCAAAATGTTAAGGATCTTTAAAGACAAACTGGCTTCCAAAGAGGTGACAGAGAAGCTAGTCCTGGACCCACTATAAACCAAGACAAGACCTTATAAAAGGAATGTATTTGTGTTATTATGGCTAACAAGAAGTTATACCCTTTCTTTATAAAAATACTCTTCCCTGAGGTCACAGACTGCTTCATGCAATCACTGAAAAGAAAGGCCTTCGTCCTGGTAACTCATTAGCTGGCAATAACTGAACTTTGTTGCCTGTGACTGCAGGGGCACAATTGGAGTTACTCTCTAACAGAGAACTCACTCAGACAGCAGCAACGCTTTATTCATCTAGCTTCTGCTCCGTAGTATTAGTCTTTGTCAGAACAAAACAAAATTCCTTCGATGTCATCTGGTTAAAATGTTCTTAGGCATTCACTAGAATTAAAAAAAAACCCATGATTTCTTGATTTTACCCACGCCTGATTTTCCCAAGCTGCGTTTCTGGGCCCGCGTTCGCCCCGCAGCAGCACGGAGCTGTCGGAGGGGCCCTGGGCCGGCGCCGGCTCAAGCTCAGCCCGGGGCGGCACAAGGCCCAGGGCCGTCCTCGATGGCACCGCCACATCCCTGGCTCGGGAAGCGCTGGGAAGAAGGGCTGGGAGCACAACGTGCTGGGCAGGAAGCGAGGTCCTAACTATGCCAAAAGCTCAGGAAACTCAACATCCCATTTGTACCTCTGCCGCCACGGTTCACAATTCGCATTCCTCTCCAAAGCCCTCCTGTTTTCCTGATTTATGGGATTTTTGTGATACCAGAATTATTAGTGTCATGAGAAAACACCACTTGGCTGTTTGCTCATTCATCTTCCATTTGTGATTTTGCTGTTTTCAGTAAAACATGTGAGATCCAGTCTGCTCCATTTCCAGAGCAAACTGGGCTTAAACTTCAGGCGCACAGTGCAAAGTGCCTCCATCCCACCCAGTGCAGAGCCTCCAGGTGCCTCCACAGGCTCTTTCCTGAGGGTGAGGACTTGCAGGACAACAGCAAAA